AAAATTGGTTTATTAATGTACCAGCAATAAAGTGCTGTTAATATTGCTTCGTGTGAAGTTTAGGAATACGATACATACTAGGAAGGCCCCAATCCTTATCATTGGTCGACTATATGAATTATTGTAAAACTGAAGAATGATTGAAAAGTATTTCTTCTTTTTCCAGGAAATGAAATTATACATACAAAAAGAGTCAAGCCGCAATTTTTGGATTCTGTATATGCAGTAACGTACAATGTAGCTGATATTATAGCACTAATTTCAACTTATATCGTTGATATTTCATTATTTCTCTGAATGATTATCATTATACACTGTATTTTGTCGTTTCTAGGCAGATCCTGTCAGCGGTTCAAGTCCCAACACTCAAGACAGCCAAGGCATAATAAAGAACAGCACCATCGCAAAAATTTCTACTGGTCAAGTGGAGAAGTATTTCCGCATACTGTATGCTGTTGCATATCTCGTCTTTCAATTTTTATTCTGGACAATATCATTAAACTATGAGGAAACCAATGTTTGATACACAAGGAAATGATTTGCCAATGAACTGCGATAACAAAACGTTCTGCAATTGTAGCAGATTACAGTACAAATATATTTGTTTGTGAATAAATTTGAAACATGATGATAATCTTATGCAATTTATAGAGTATATATTGACTAGCTGTATTTATCATCGATGGGTAGATGGGAAAAAATGATGATTTGTACAGAAAAAGGTTTATTTGGTAAATAATACACCGGAAAAACTAAGAGCGGAACTGAACATTGTAAGATGTTGACTTGAGATGTTGTGCACAGCTTCGAAACAGTATTTAAGGTTAGTTTGATATCAGCAAGTAGTTGCGGTTTAGTTCTGTGAAGAGGCAAAAGAACAGCTTTCACTTCTCCAATTAAAACGTCGAGCCGAGCATAGAGACGTTTCATTTTTTATTACAAGAAAAATGTTATGTATAACTTTCTTTGCGTCAACAGAAACAATTTGAATGTGCAGACTATATGTCATGGGGCAAGTTGAACGTTGGGCCTATCACTTTACTTCACGGAAGGTTAAGTTCTAAACTACATTTATATCATAACGCATAGACCCGATCTGTGATAGTCTTTTGCTGAAACACATGTCGCTGCTTTATCATTGTAGAGTGGTTGTTCTTTAGCTCAAGTAGCTGACACATAGAGAAAGAGGTCTTTAGTACGCTAAATATGAAATTTATTTGTGGTATGATTGTTGCAAACTTAATTTTCGTGATTCGGTACATTAAATAGTTCTTTCATGTAATCATTTTTATGAAAGAGGCATATAGATGTTATAAATTACTTCATTCAATTTGATATTAATCATAGGAAGTCAACTGTAAATCAACGTAGAACTGATGGTGCAGATCTAGGGCAAAGATAATGTTTGCTGATGTTTTGCTTAAGGGAGGATATGAAATGCCAATAACTTTTATTGGTTTGATGAATAAAGAATAATTAAGAAAGGAAACGAAGAATTTTGTTAGTAGTAATAAAAAACCAACTTTAAAACAAGTACGTAAAATATATGTTTGAAGTGCGTCATATCTAAATCGGTGCTATTTCTTTTGTGAAAAGGAATGCATGACGTTTAATCATTTGTCATGTCGTAAAAGACGAAGTAACATTTTCAAAAAGCAACAATGCAATCAAATTAGATCACATTTCAGCCATTTCTGACCCATGTTGGTTATGTTTCGTCTGTTCGGTGCTGATATGACAGAAAAAACCCTTTTATTATGTGGGTGTTAAAGGTATGGATATTTCACCCTCAGGGATTACAATATGTTGTTAAACCCTCGACAGAGCCTCATGTATCAGCATATCTTGTGACCCGTGTATGGATTATCCCTATTCTACATCCACGCATATGAATGAATCTTATTTTATCCTTTTCATCAACTTTGCCGAATGCAACAATAGCTTAATGCTAATTAACCTTGCACGTGCTCTATATTTTATTCCAGAAAATACACTGATTGGTATATTCACTGTATATATCCCTTTTCTTCTCGTTGAAGACATTACATGTTTGTTGTCAGTTTCTCTTTTTCACGGTAAATGTCGTTGCAGTCACAATTTTAACACATTATTTTTTATCCTTTCAAGCCATGGAAAACACAATAATGATTATCCGTGTTTTTGTTGTCTTTCCGGACAGGAAACTTGCGTTGAAATGAGTAATACGATATTACAGAATAAGGGAACTTAAACTTATGGCACAACTACAGCATCAGTTCCCGAATTAATCTTAGCTCGAGAGCGAAGCTGTGTGACTTGTTTTGATCATGGATATTATAGGCTCTGATGGTTTATAGACATTCTTATTGTAACGAGGACTTTTTTTCCTTATGGAAGACCATCATTCTTTGCTCTTTTTTCTTACTGTTTAATCATGCTTAAACTTTGAACCATTGACCTCGTCATCTGTGAACTCCGTCTTCAAATGAACCTGACTGTTTGAACGCAACCTCAATCTCAATCGATAATTAAACACAATATACATACTTATAACAGAAAGTATGATGTCTAAAAATCAACGAAAAGAAGGTGAAGAGGAAAAGGGGAACAAATAAATGGATAACATGGATATTAATTATTTACAAGGAGAATTAAAGTAATCGAAAGTAAAACGATTATATGTTAGCAAATTGAAGCGTGGAAGAGGGGTTACAATAACAATTGTAAACTAACACCAAGTCTAATCAACAAGAACGCAAAGATGGACCTGTGAATTGCTGATGCAAGACGACAGAGGAGTTGTCTATATGATTTACGTAGTGTGCATGCTATTTACTTGAAGTGTCCAGCAAGTTAAAACCAAACCAAGGTATCTTTATCAACGTTATCACCTTTTCCATCGGTGTGATGCAGGGTTATTATAGAGAACTGTTCGATACAATGTAAAACTCTTTCTATACCACCATTCTCTCTACCTGCAGAAGTCGATACTTATTTTAGGGTCTGGTAGTTATAGCCTTTCTAGTATTATCAATTAACTGTTGAAACTTGTTTATCATAAACCATTCCGTGATATATATATATATATATATGTGTGTGTATTATTGTAGGGGCCCTTAAGTGTACGCCATCCTCCATCACTATCTACATGCAGTAAATACACCTATCTCTTATAAACATTGTGCATAGTGTGTTTGTTGTTTAGTGCCTCGTAAAATGTCGATGATTGATGTTACTAATATATTGATGTTGTGTTAACGACCAGGTGCTGTTTCGGAAGTATCATGTTTAGTTAGTATTCCTTTAAACCAACTATATCGTGACCCAAGCTACACAAGGTAAGTTATAATAGTTAATCATGGAATTGTGACATAGTTTTTCAATAGTTCATGTAAGTATAAATATTATAAGTTTTATTTTAAAAAAAACTGACTCAAAAAGTTGTTTTGCCGCTCACATACAGGTTTTTCATTTCGATAAATGAGTTTCCGTTTGGCTTGTATCAACCGACTTAGTTATTTCCAATATTTCATTTATTAACGTCAGACGCCTAATTTTGCCATAGTGTTAAAAAGCGTATATAAAACATACTCAAATGAATAGCAACTTTCAACACTAATTTAGAAAAAGATATTGAAAGAGCCAAGTATTTTAATTTGACTTCATCATAAAGCTGTTTAGTCCGTATATGACTCGTCAGTGATACTAAGGGTTTGTTTAATGAAGCGACTGAGGGTTTATTTTTTATTTCTTTAATATAAAAATTCAATCAATTTTATGATCCCTAATGCCGAATAATTCCAAAGAGCGTCAAGCACATATGTATATTCGGAACCATGCCAGTGCATATAATGGCAAATTTCAGGGAGATACTAAAAGTCCACCAGCAGTGATACAACTCTCTTATCTAGAAGTTCAGGGTTTTCACAGTTATAAAGTGATATATAACAACATGTTAAAACACTAACGAACATTAATACTAGATGTGGCTAGGTTTCCAATCAGTTAACATTCAAATTGAAAAGAGAAAAAGACTTAATTTTAAAAATATAATTATTAGTTATTTATTTATTGAAAATAAAGGAGATGTGGATTTGGAAAAGAATGTTTACATTTTAGAGGTGTGTTTGGACTAGCGACATAAATAAAATGTAAATAATGTAGAGTATGTACCATCCATTGATCTTGTTATACAGATATTTTCATTACTAATCCTTACATATATTATTAATATGTCAACATTACCATCTTCAAAGATACCTTATTGCTTTTCATTTGATACTATCACATCAACAGTAAAACATTTAAAAACATTTACTTAAACTTCTTCACCTAAAACAGGGAAACAGATTTTGTAACGTATGTGATATTTCATTTTTATTTTATTACATAGGTGTATATTTTGTATCATGACACATAATATATCCTTTATGCTTCATTCATTTATGGAAATAGTCTAATTTGATTAATGATATTTTCTTATACATGTAATATGTAATATTTTGTCCTCATTTATTGGTTACATAGTTGACCAAATTAAGGCTGTAATACAATGAAGGCCGCGTTCACAATATTAATTATCACGTCATCCATTTTCGCATACCTGTATCATCAGTCAGGTCGGGTATTATTGTCAAAATGATTTGTATGTATATATTTGTGAAATTTTCATTCGTTTTTTTTCTTTTTAATCTTGATACACATGACGTTGCATCTCAGTGGATTTATATCACACCAAACATTTACTAAATCAATTCACTGAAGTGGTCAATGACCCCCTCCTACCCTTCTCCCAATTTTATACTGAACACCTTAGATCGATTTCTATTTCATAACTTCTCTTCTGGTTTTTCGGAGCCATCAGTGACTCAAAGAAATTAAGTATTTAAAACTTTTATTTGAGTTTGTATTTTAACGATACTTATCAACACAAATTATATCAATATGATACTATTGTTTTCTAACAGTGTCTTGTTTTCAATCATTACAGTTCCATTTGCTTGACTCATTCGCTGCTGAATATGATAGTAACCATATTGCTAAAGATATGTGCTATTTTGATTCCAATAGCAACATATGGAGACGTCAGAGCTGAATTGACACCATCACAGTAAGTTTTCCTTGGGGTCACTCTTCGTCTCCTTCCTATCTGAACTGTTCATTTTATACAACCTATTATTTTAACTTGATATTCTAAAACTCATTAATGGCCTTGCTATAAAGTGTAAATAATTAATTTTCAGACATCACGAAATAAAGACCATGCTTCAGAAAGACCAATCAAAGCCTCCATTTTATGAGACAGGTAAATAATTTCATGCAGATTCATACCTTCGTTCCTAAAACCTAGCTTGCATCGAATGCAGTGTCAATGTACATTATCATTATAACGTGAAACAGGGCGAATACTGGAAAAGGAACCAAAATTCATGGCGATTACTGCAATATTTTATATTATCCATATCTTGCATTTACAAGACACATATTCAGATATATGGATATCTATAAGCTGTATAATTCATGTCTAATATTTTGTATTTCAGTAAACCAAACCAAAGTCCGAATCACTGTACACATGACCCAAATGAGGTTCATCAATACGGTATGTAATAATTAAAGATCAATTTTATCGATCGATCTGTGTGATTAATTAACATTATGAACATTCACTTTTGATCTTTTTGGCATTTCCGTTGTATGATTTGCAACATTTAGTTTTATTTTCATTGATTTTATTAAGTTTGAACTATAGTCAAGGATTTGATTCTAACCTTCAATTTGTATAAATAAAATTTCTAGTTTTTAGTAATATTTTAAGCACTTATAGAGATCAACCTCATTATTTGAGAACCTGTCTAAATGCACGTTTGATGTTTCAAACTTCCCAGTTTTTACAAGCATTTTGCGTATTTTCATTGCTATGGAAACGGATTTGAAATGCTAAATTTAGATAAAGAAAGTAATAATTTATCGATTTATATTGTTATTCAGGCGGAAGCGGACTTTACATTTTATTACTACCAGATTTGGAATGATCCCAGACTGAAATTTCCCTTCGCTGGTAACACTAATTTTAGCGAGTATACATACCACGTGGTTGAACGTAATCATTTCGGAAATATATGGCTGGTAGAGAGCTACATCGAAAACGAATTACATTCCCGTGTTCACGATTCATCGATGCCAAACCGATTTGTATGGCTGCTGCCAAACGGAACTGTCATATACAGTTTGAGGTACTGGTATATTCTTATAAATCTTTTTCGCTTTAGCAGTCAGATTTAACGACATATACCATCTTGTTATTCTTGAAATGAAATTCAAACAGCAGTATATTATCATCTTAAAATTCCTCATTTTAGAATGACTGTTGGACTTGCATGCGAGCTGCGGGGCTTTCTTTTTCCCAATGGTCTTTTTGATTGTCTGTTGAAATTTCGGATCCGTGAGTATTTCTGTGGAATTTTGGTGCAAAATTCAGTATGAGTTGTTCCCTGAAAAATCACTGAAAGAAGATTTTAAAAATTACAATTTCAATATTAAATGAGCCAAGACATAAACATTGAAAATCTGCTTCGTATAATCAACTGCTCCTGTACTTTACATAAATATAGGCATACATATATACTTCATTTAAAACAGGTATTTGATGTATTATTTTCACTATACATTCTTTGAATTCTTTGAGAGGAAACCAATGTACGTAACCTTGTATAGGCGAAAAGTCGAGATAGTATGTACAAAAAGAGGTCGATAGAAGTCCTTAGTTATGTTTACCGTGTTTTGCGAATAGAATTATTTTTCATTATCAGTGTCCACAACAAGATATCAGACTGCCAATATGATACGCGTGTATGAGTAAATATCTCCAAAATCTGCTGCCGTAGTTGTTTTGCTCTTTTGATATTAAATGTTTCATGTCGTTGAGGTCTTACGCCATAGTACGGTAGTTTCTCAGGGCAAGAACGAGGCTCACGGTTTTCGAGTGAAGGTCATAATTACTTTGTATATAAAATCATTGCCAACGCTTTATCTCTTGGGGAATTCCCAAAAGTATCTTCAACCAGTGTAAATTTCAGGGAGTTTAGGTCCAGGCCATGTCACTCTGGCTGCTTCATTTCTTGAGGGACTCTCAAAAAATATTTACAGGATTATTAAGCATAGATATATCTCGGACATGGTCGAAATTCAGGATAGTTGGGTTAAAGTTAAAGTCATTTTTTTGTTTTTGGAAAATTAGTGGGTTCATTCCTTCAAGAATTCTGCATCCACATTTAAAGCACTAATATATCTTGAACTAGTTTCAGGATTAATATCAGAAACATTGTCGGAGTGATCACACTTCTTTTAAGGATACCATTATAACATATATCCTCTCGTTTCCGTTGAGACCAAAAGTATCTAATCCAATTAAATATTTTTCTTTATATTTTCTATCCTAAAAGTTTGATGAGGCACACTGTAGACGGCTTTTTGAAAATGTTAACTTTTATCAGTGCCTTTTTCTTGTCAAGATTTTCTGTCCATTTAACACACAAATAATCCTTTATTAGATCATGCTGATATCTAGAGAACATATTGTTAGATTACATGCAATTTACTGCAGTGTCCCTTGCTGTTTTTCCATTTTTTGTTTTTATACATATTTGGGAAGAAGGCATATTGTTTTATGTCTTTTATATTGTATAAATGATTCATATTCAAGGACGAAAACGAGGTAATTGCCTTAAAAAATATTTCCAACTTTCTCCATTGTTATTGTCCCTATGCTTTCAAATTGATTAAATCTCTTATTAATCATGCATACATATATGTTAATTAGTAACATGGGTCTAATCTGTTGCATTATGTGTCTGTATGTATTGTACTTACATACCGTATAATCTTATTCAAGACTCGTACACAAACGACCAAGTTTATATGGAATGGGACTCCATCAACAAACCGGTGATAAATATATCTTTTGCAAACCCGGAAGTGAAAATGCATACCTGGCAGTTTACGGAGTGCTCTTCAGATATGAGTGCAGGTACGTATAGCAAAGTATGGATATGTTTTTAGCATATGAACTTTGTTAGAATATGCAGAATTGCTGATCGATTCCAAATCATTTTGGATTTCCAAATGATTATGTTGAAGATTCAGTTTCACTTATTTTCCATGTTCTTCCCTTTTGTTGCATTCTGTTAATTCGAAATATTACCCTAGATACCAAACACAAAAGTATCAGTCAATCAAAGCAATTTAGCGGTCGCAGTAAATTTATAGTAGAATTCTTAAAGATTGTGTTTGTGATTAAGAAAAAAAAAGTTAAAAAAAAAATTAAAAGAAAAAAAATGTTTGAGTGCTCAAATACTTTTTTTAAAAAAAAAAACTTTAAACAGTTTGAAAATTGCAAATTTATAATATGATATTTATCAGATGCATGTATGTTGTGCAGTATTTCTATTTTATTTTGCAGTCGTTGACAGCTCTTGCCTGCAACTACTGGTACGTGTTCAATTCAGTTTTGCCAGCAGCGCTGTGCGTTTGTTTTTACCTAGCGTTTTTATCGTACTCGTTGGATGGCTGAGTTTTTGGATAGAACGTTCGGAAGTCTCGTCTAGGGTCAAACTCGGAACACTGTGTTTGTTAGCAATGATAACGGAACAAGTAGGAACGAAATTGTTCCTTCCGGTCGAGTTCACGATATCCTCCATGGAGGTGTGGTTTGTGATGTCTCTGGTGTTTGTCGTGGTGGCCATGATTGAATATACATTCGTACATGCTGTAGATATCTTCCAGGAGAAAGTAAAACAACAGCAAGAATTGAAGGAGAGAGTTCGTACAGAAACAGGAGGAATCGGTGATCCTCAGGATATTAAGCAAAGGAGCAACGTAGATCTCATCGAAATGAACACATCGCCAACGGTAAACAAAAATCTTTTGTTTTATCCTTTAGCAAGACTACAAGGCTTCAATAAGTTTCTTTATAGTTGGAAACATTTTTTATTCATTGATCTTTAAAAATATTTTTACAATCTTAAGTAACTTTTTTCTATTGAAAATGTCTAAAATGTTTATCAAAAATATGAGAAGTCTTAGAGCTCATACCAAAATGAACCAGGCTGATAAAAATATCCAAAAATTTAAGATTTTCAAGAAATTTCGGACAGACTGAAATAATATCAGACAAAAATGCCTGATATCCATATTCATTTAACATTTTTCTCACTTTGTTTGGAATTCTGTAGGGTAGTCCAGTTGATTTCGAATCATATGGCAATGAAAAGGACGATCTAATGAACAGCTTTGGTGCCAGATTTATCATGATGGTGCCAACTGGTGTGGTGGAGAAGTACTTCCGGATTTTTTACCCAATTGCCTATCTCTTATTCCAGTTCCTGTTTTGGACAATCTTCCTTAATTATGAAGAAGTGCTTTAATAAACGCTTTATCATCCATCAGAGACCTGGCGCGTCACCTATATGTTGTAAATACGTACATGTGATTTTTTGGGTTTTTTTTTTTTTTTTTTTTACACATTTTGCGAAATCAATAAAAAACGCTACTGTTTCGATAATATTACAACTTATCAATAGTTTAGATTACTGTTTTGGGCAGAAATACGATATGAAATTGCATGCGTAGTATTATGAAACGAACTCAACGATACTGAAAATCAAACAAACTGTTATTTAAAAGCAAACTCCACTTAATCAGAACAAACAATGAGTGAAGGAAAGATTGAAGTGGGGATCACTGTCTTAGAACAAGAGAATAAAAGCATGTGTTCACGGAGGGTAAACACACTTTGTTAAATTGACCACTTCAGATGTGTAAGTCCACTTCAGATCATAGACGTATCACAATCCGATTCATATTTGATTTAAATGTCGAAACTTGCCACTAATGGTATTTATACTGACGTGTATGTTTTGAAGCATTTGGTTTTTGGATTACCTGATACTGCCTCTTGTCTGACGTCGAGTGTCGTCAATTGTAAAACTATTGACATTCTTGACTTCTTCTTGGAAACCCTTGAATCATTTTCAGTGAGACTTTACATAGACCTTCCATGGCCAATGGTGAAACAAAATTTTGAATCAGACGGTCACCTCCCCGGGGGCCTGAGGGGGCTAACACGGAACAAGAAGACCAATTCTCAACACCCATATATGGTATAATCAATTTTCATGGAAAGGTCTTGTGGGTTTTACCGAAGTTGTGAATTCACAAAAGTTTATAGAGAAAAAAATCACACTTTGTTAAACTTATTAGCAAAAAAAGTCGGTTTGTTGGTATATACGTACCTTTCTGTTCCCAGGTTGATGGTTGTTACGAAAATTAATAAAATTGACTCTGATTTCGAAAATATCAGCACCCAGATATGACAGAATGAAATTCGTCATCGATGAAAGATTCTTAAAGAGCTTTACCACAACTGTGAATTTCCTGAACCCAGGATCTCACACTCCCCATTGGAGACATTCATGCAATCTACATAGACTTGTCAAAGGGTGAAGAGTATACTCTACAGCCAATTTTACAAAAATTTGCACAAATCCTGTAACATCTACCTGGTCATTTATTCTGAGGGACTTGACATCTATGAGTTTCCATACAGCTGAGATCAACGACGGCTCTTCATGTTTGTGTATAAGACGCCCACACGACATCACATGACCTCTAAAGTCGTCACATTGCCCAAAGTATAACGACCAAAGTTTGATAACTGGATTGAGTATCCTTCTCTTAGAGTAATGCACCTACATTCACAAACTGTCCCGTTCGGAGATATTATGGTTTTCTTCTGAGATCTGGACAGATTTACGATTGCGATTGTAGACATCGATGCAAGTGTTGGTACAATTCCCGTTGGCAAGTTAGGAGAAGTATGGAACTTGTTTTATGCTGTTGTAATAAAGACTTATTTGTTAAATCAAAAAAATAATGTTATTGCAATGCTTGCTTGGTGCAAACAGACATAAGTACGCCGTAGAACAAACAGCTTGTTAATGTAATTCTAATATACAATATTGAATCACAAGAGGAACAAACATACCCATAAGACTGCATGCGGTTCATTCGAAGTGAAACGTCTTGCATACCAGTCAAACTGGAGCGAAAAGCAGGCATTTTTGTATCCCTAGGCGATTAAACAGTAACGGCAACTCGGCGTTTCTGGGTTTTGTTTCAAGTTCAAGAGATTGTAATATACTAGTAACATAATATAATATAGATTTGATTTGCATCCTATTTTTTTTCTTTTTAAAACTAGTATCCTCTACATTTCATGTTATTTCAGTTCAATATCTTTGGACTTGTTTATATATAGTTCCCAAATACGCATTTCGCTACTAGTGACAACATATGTATGCGTAGTTTACTAAGTTTGAGCTGCAGATATATTGCTTAAAAATGTGTCTAAATCTTCCGTGGACATCATCATGTGATAATATCCAGCTGTAAAGAAAATTGTAGATAAATGATCTGATTATGTACAGATTAAATATTGGCCATGAATTCCTTTGACAGATCTCCGTCTCAGTCCCAGTTATTATAGATAGCATCACAAAAATGGAGAAGACTGGCCAATGTCTTGAAATATAAACTTAGCGAGGTTAAGAAAGACAAAAGTAGCGAGGATGTATTTCTCTTCGTGTCCCGAGTCTGGATACAGTGATACATATAAGGTAAACTGATATTGAGTCGGACGCGATCTAAAGTCGGGCAAATTTTATGATGTTTTATTCGCATTTTGGTTCAAAACTCTCATTCTTACCCTGTGCAAATCGAAAAATGGACGTGTTCTGAACCTAGACTGATCTTTCTAGCCACTTCGGTCTTTTCTGGTGTGTGACGGAAGAAGCCCCATTTTGATTGGTTCTCCCTTTAAATATCTGCACCAGAACACTCTTGTATCTTTAATGATAACTAATTATTTACAAATAAACCATGATGCCGCTGAACAATGCGTACTTCTGACATTTTTAAAACATGTATATGATTTGAAAATTACAATTTTAAAATTAATTTTAAAAGGAATTACGGTATATTTGTTATACTATTAAAGAGTCGTTCGTTATCATTTATGGAAATAGAATTGTACATTTTTTTTTCACAAAACTCCAAATAGATCTTCATTTCATATACATGTATAAACACTTAACAGTTATGTTATATAATTCATGTCAATCTTTTATATTTTTATTTCATTTTTTTTTTCAATATATTTTGGCAGTTTTATTTTGCAATATCACCTTGGATGTTGGCTGTGATCTTTTGCTTTTGCAAGGTATAATACATTGTCTAGTACTTATTTTGATAATAAATCTGAAGGATAGTTTGATGTTTATCAAAACAATTTGTAGGATCTTAAACTTCCTGACACTCTAAAAAAATCCATGTATGTTTAATGAAAGTTTCAGTGTTTCAACTACTTAGATTACAAACGGAGAAATGACAAGATATGGTCGAAAAATGAAAGAGGTAGTTGTTACGATATGGTGTCTGACTCTAGAGCCGAGAATTCGCCTGACAGTGTGCAAAATCACGACCGGATCGAGGGAGCGCAAACAGGCAAATTTCGTTCCCTCCCCGTCATATTCTCGACCCCTCGCATTGTCGTTCCTCGCTCTGCCGACCTTAAGGTCGAGGGAGCGCAATCGCGAGATGGCCCTAACCGTCCACCATATTGTTCACCTTTTGGTTTTTTGTATCTATGGCGCTATAGTTTCGCCTTGTATCTCGGCAGTTAAGGCCAATATTACATTGATGAATTGCAACTGAACAATCGCATAATGTTTTGATATGTGTTCATAATTCAATAAACAGTACAGTGTAAACATTTCCTCTGAAAACGTTCCATAAAATATATAAAATAAACCGAAGTTGTCCAGCACGTAAAATGCGTAAGAATTGTACCAACTGTTGCCAATAGAAAATTGTAAAAGAGACGACTAAATTTGGTATCTAATCCAGTTTTCTCTTACTTGTTTCCTTATGTCTCCTTGACCCTTGCTCCATTTTGACAATCAATGAGTTTTGATTTTTTTTTATATAAACATAATTTATTGCACATATGTAGCAGTAGGATGGGGCGCAAGTTTTACAACTTATGTAAAACCTTTTCCAAACATATTAATACACACGCATTATATTTACAAGGTGGCAGTAGGATGTGATAGCAATGAAACAATCATAAACAAGTTTAGTGAGAGAGAGAGAGAGAGAGAGAGAGAGAGAGAGAGAGAGAGAGAGAGAGAGAGAGAGAGAGAGAGAGACAGAGACAGAGAGAGAGAGAGAGAGAGAGAGAGAGAGAGAGAGAGAGAGTATGTATGTATGTAATGTATGTATGTATGTATGAGAGTATGTAGATCATGTGTCTTGAGTTTTCACTTTGGGGTGCATTGTTACATCATTTACGTCGTCAATTGACTTGGTGAGTTGTCAGTGATCAACTGGTAGCTCGATAGTCTCTGGTCCGGGAATAAGGAGGCGGAAACCGAGAGTTCAAAGGTGGGAAACTGGAATTGGTTCTGAGTTTAACATTGTAAGTCGTGAGACTGACAGCCATTATCTTAATAATAAAAGTGATTTTTTACTATTTCTAAGTACGTACCCGAATTACTTGATGTTATAAACATAAACTGTACTTAGTGTACAAAGATAAAAATCCCTTTTGCAATGATATCTACATTTATTTGGTATCACAATTTGGACAAAAGAGGAAGAGACTATTAGTAAATAGATGTACAAATTGACTAGTACATGCCTTCGATATAATTAGTTCAAGATTATGAATGCTTTCGACTTTGTCATCATTGCCAGGGATTGGAAAAAGGGAAATGGATGATAGCATCATAGCCACGGATGTCAGCATTTCAACCGCAAGAGTGTATTGACAGACGAGGCTGGTACCTGTGGCCAAATTAAAGAAATGCTGGCAAGTCATGAGAAGTTTTGTACACAATGTGTCTTATTCTGATTTTCATAGCACTTCCGGTGTAACACAATCCCAAGTGAACTTTATATACTATTTAAAACATAACAAATTAATTGACTGTTTAGATGGACGATCTAGAACAAATAATTTCGTTAGTGTAATTTTCAAATTAATAAAATAAATAATTAACTATCCTAGCTGAGATGGATGAGTGTATTGCAAAAAAAGGAAGATGAGAAGGAATGAAAATAAATTTCGTTTTTTAAAAAAGTTTTAGGTATTTACATTCTTAATTCTGACACAGAAATCTTTCAGTTTATGTATATATCCGTAAATCATCCGGACCTAATTTTACTACAGCTACGACAACTTCCGGGTCGATGCTTTTGAAAGGTTGCTAAGGTTGACGATATTCAGTATTTTTACATTTAACCGCATACGAATGATTTTTCATCAACATTTAACACGAAAGAATCCCTTTGTAATAAGTTTGATTCGGGATATGTTTGGTATTTCACCATGATTATTTTTATCATTAATATCAACTAACGTTACCAAATATTAACCAATGCCTTTCACCGTTGCTCACCAGGTCATGGTCATTGGCACAAAGAATCAACATAATTTAGACTTAGTGGGCATCAGCTTTTGCTACAGACTAGCTCGTAAGTACGGTTTGAGCATATGTTACTTCATGTCAATTGAAAGAAATATACATTATGATGAATGGCCAGTGACAATGCATTCTGATAAACTTTGAATGTTAACGAGGTGTTGAAATATTTTTTGATCATCAGACAAAGTTAACAGTACAGCAAAATGATATGTAATGTGAATGACAGCTGTTTTGTATTCGTAATTTATTAAAGAACAGACATATGTATACTGTATGCAGATCCTATAGTCTATGTCATGCTAAAGTGAACAGCTGAAAGTCTCAACACACATATTTCATCATAAGCCAAGGATGTAATTTAATAATAATAATAAAAGGATAGATACAATGCCACATTTGCATAAGACCATATTTCATGTACATTTGTAGTCTGGAGATATAGATTACTGTATTAGTTTTAGTTTGAATTTCAATACAATTAATCAAGATTGAAAATTAGCATACTTATTAATTGAAGAAATCGTTAACTTTAATATATTTTTTTATATTTTCTATTAGATCGTCTTGATGGAGCAGTTAGAATCTTTGTAATGAAAATTTGTTCCGGAACAAGATGTGTACATTCAGAAAGAGGAATATGCTACAGAAGGTATTAAAATACATGTTTTCATCGCCATTTCTTCTACTGCCCTAACATTATGACCTTCATTCTTGACCTGGTGCACACATTGAGTCATGGCAGTAGCTATGCCCAAAAACAATGTTACAAAAGTAACTAATGCTACTACAACCATGAAGGACAAAGCGATGAATCCTTTAGATTTTAATTTACCACAAACTAGCAATGGGGGTACAAAGTCTCTAAGGAAAAAGAAAAGAAAAACAAAAAAATGTCCTAAAGTTGTGAAACCTTTAAGTCGGCAAAAAATTCGATCATCTTCTGCTGTGGAGTCAAAGTCGGAAAACACTATTAGTAACACTCCTCATCATGGCTTGACGTCATCATCTTCGTCATCCCGTTTCTGTGAGCGTCCCAGCACAGCAGGAAGTCTTCGTCTACCCTCCATCCATACCCCCATGTCTACAAGTAGCACAGCTCTATCTGCCTCCATAGATAGACTAGCAACACCTCCAGGAAGACAAAGAGCTTCTCTTCCAGAATCATCTCAACCCACATCCAGTGAACGCAGAAAGAAAATTCCACTTCTTGCTGCAATTAAACCAGCAAACGAAAAGGCAGAAAAGGAAAGATTTCTTCGGGCAAAATGTCAATACAATCCATATTTCATTTACAAATTTCCAGCTGATGCTGAAGTTCTAGAGAGAGTTAGTGTGGCTTCAGACAAGTTTTTACCACAGGTAGGTAAACCTTTTTCATAACTCTACACCTGTCATAAGCATGTATTTTCTCAATATATAAATTCTGTAGGAGAGTTAAATATGTATTGTACCTTATCCATAATAAAATATGACATCATGGACATTTATTGAGTCATGTTAATCTAATACATGAGACATCCTTCCATTTTCCTATACTAGGCAATCTTAATAATGGAACGTGCTATTGACCAATACGGGAGTTATGAGAACTTTGAAGCAGATACTGGTGGTCAGATTATATCCCGGGGACAGATCAACAACTTGGTCCAGCGCTATCTGAAGAAGGAAGATATAGAAAAAGAAATAGTTGTTAATCTGACAGAGGAACTCCTCTCACGGGGCTCAATGACAAGACATAAGGGAAAACCTCAACTAAATGTTCGTGTCAGTAACCTGAGGGAGTATTGGGTAGAGGGACTCCTTCGCCATGAGCTTGGTTTGTATTTTAATGTATACATATTTCTTGCGCAGATTTGAAGGGAAAAAATAACATACTGTATAGATCTTTTAAATGTCATCCTCTTTTCTAACAACAACAAAATGATATTGATTGAAAAAAAACAGAAAACAATTTTTAATCGGTAAAATTATCAGTGAACAGACTTAAACAACATAATAAATGCAAAATCACTATCATGAAAAACAGTTTTGATGTTAGTATAAAATCTCAATATGGATCATGAATTGTAACTCTTATATCTTACTACTCAATATAAGAGCTAAGTAAATCTGACATAAAGTTGTCTGAAATGTTTGGAATGTATTTAAAAATATGATGTTTATATGTCTTAACTGAAGACTGTGTAATAATTATCTTTAAATGGTTTAATTAAGAAATTCAATGTACCTGTTTCAAAAAACTATTGAACAGGAGATTGCACTGTTCTGTTGATTTTTTAGCATGTAATATCTCGGTATGATAAATCTTTTCTGTTTAAAATATGATTTTATTATTTTCAGTAAATTTATGCCAACAATTGGTTTCATATTGTAATGTCAAATGAATATCATGGTATTCATATATTTCAGGCACTCACTATGTTCGCAGTTATAACAATAAATTTCAACCATGGTACAACTGGAAAGTACGTAAAGAGCTAGATATGTTACCACTGAATCCGACTGAGGAGGGACTGGCATCACTACACAGTGTGTTGTTCCGTAGGAACCCTTGCTTGTGGCGGTCAGCACTGCTTTATTACACAGTGTATAAAGCATCTAAACTGTCCCTGAAGGATCTCTTTAAGGATCTTGGCCGATTTGTCAATGACCAGCATGTACGATGGGATTATTGTATCCGCGCAAAGCGAGGTCAGATAGACACATCAACACCAGGTAATTTTGTCAGATGTGTTTTGTACGGTAAGGAATAGAAAATGAAATTTATTGTGATGTTACTATATCATATTTCCAACAAGACATTTGTTCTATTTTAATTTTTTTTTTTTGATAAATTTGCATGGATGTTTTTTTCATACACAAGTCAGGGAAATCTCACATGCTACACATTGTTAGATTTACCGTCTTGTCTGATATATCTAATACTATAATGCGATTTTAATGCCAATATTGTTTTTGCTGTAATACAAGAAAATACTGAGGTATCGATGAATGATAATGAGAAATTACATTCCGTCATCTGATCAGATGAGGTTAAGCAATTAGATAATCAATTATGTAGGATCATCGTCCAATCACATTTTTGCAGTGCTGCTGATGATTGTTTTTTTTTTAAAAAACCTTATCAAACATATATTTAACAGGGGCATTTTCCAAGGATCAGGTGTATTTATCTGGAGCACTACAAATACTGAAATACCGTCGACAGATTGACTTCCAAATGATGATGAGACTCGGTAAAGTGGCATACCAGGATATTGACCGTTTAAAAGGGTATGCTGATCTGGAGGGGACACGGGTGCCAACATTTATGGAAGACAGGGCAACATACATTAAACATTTGGACCGCATTGCAGAGGCTAACGGTCTCACTGACCAAGTCCTGCAAAATGTATGATGATGATGGATCCTAGCCTGTAGAATTGATAGGAACTATAAGTGTTGTGATACATTGGCTTTGTGTTCGTGTTTCTTTGACGTAAACAGAAGGTTTTTTTTTTTGTTTTTTGTTATGGGTCTGTTGAACAAATTTCTCAAAATAAAAACTGTTTAAAAGGTATGAAATACTTCTGCACCAAACTCCTAAGAAATAGAAAAAGACACTGAGAAATTGTCTTTCAAACAGTTAAGATATATATGATGGAATAAGCATATCTTTTTTGATAGAAATGAGGATCGCATATTAATGGAAAAAAAACCACCCAAACCTCAGACTAATTGTAGAATAATTCATATTTTGTTTTTCAAATGGTGGATATTTTATTTAAACCATGAAAAAAAGTCTACAAAAATCAGAATTTAGGAAGGTGGTTTTTTTTCGCCCTTTTCTTGTTAAAGTGCAAAATCTAACTCTTTTGTAATAGTGGATGTAAGAAATTAATACAGGGATAAGGCCCACCAAAATAAAATGCAAGTTTGCTGAATAATTTAAGATAAATAGGGAACTATTGTGCTTGAAAAATATTACTCTCACAAAATAGCTGAAATTTATTTTTAAGCAACAATCATGACACTGGCTTCAGTTGTCATTTTCAATGAAATAACTATGAAATTATCAAGATGAACATTAATTAAAGCTTAGAATAAATGCATTGTCCTAGGTATTTTACAATTAATTATTTGAATGGAAGATTTTGTATTCACAAATACTTAAAAGAAACTTTTAAAGTTGACAAGTAGCTCTAAACTTGAAACTTTTAAAAGTCAAAATTCAACAAATTTCAAATTTTCAAAATTAACTTGTGTTTAGGTAATATCAAAAGGCAATGCTTAAAAGCTAATTTTTTTTTCTATGCATATCGTTCTTAACAGAAATGCGATCTTGATGGAGACTGCTGCAAGTGAACCAAGTCTGGTTGATCAAATTGATCTCACAAATTGAACTGAATTGACAAGTATAGCTAAGTTCTTGATTTTGAATGACAAAAATAAGAGTATATATTTGATGTTGGATATGATTGTTGGTTAAAAATTATACCATAACATTCCCCTTCTGACTAAGGGAATTAAGGTTTAAATGATATTTCCTTTTCAAACAAATAAGAAATTTTTCTTTTCAGCCAAAGCACAGAATATAAAGAGATACAAACTTTTATGAAGTGGTGTAAATGTTTAACCTTAATTTCAAACACTGCTAATGATTTACTTTTGATTTATAGACTTTACTGGTAAACTTATTTGTTAATTGGGAAAAAAACTGCAGAAAAAACAAGATTTTCCTTGTTAAGAGATATTGTGTTGAAAAAGTATTGAATTGTTGATATAGCTGACAAGGATGGGAAAAGATTAAACTTTTAAAGAGCAAATACAGACCAAACAAGGTGAGTGCCATAATCCGTCTGGGATCTTGCTGTTTGTAAGGCCAATAAAACCTCAGATTTATAATTCCAGTACTCAATATGAGTTCTTTGCTAGCTGATTTCATGAAGAAACTTTTTCAAGTCATGACCAGCCATTATTCTTCCAGTATTTTTGCCACTATCAGCCTGTTTGGATGGCTGTGTCTTTCACTTGTTGATGGCCCTAATGACCTTTTATGTGTTGACGGGCCGTTAAGATTGTAATAATGATAATAATTACACTCTCAGTCTGTTGTTTCTTTCCTTATCAATAAGGAAATTTTCAAATAAATTGTTCAGTATGATTTCAATCTTGAATGTTTAAAAAATGAAAAAGAAAGAAGGAAATTGGATTTAGTCAGTGTCACAGGATCAAGACACATGGAAAGAAAGTCTGTTTTCATTGCATTGTTAATTATGTGTTTCAACTTACATCAATCATTTTGTGTGTGGATTTCCTCTACGTCTACAGTTTCTGGGAAAAAACGACACAATATTGCCAAAAACAGTTTGAACTTTACTGAGGAATATATTGTATTTATAATTCAAAGGTTTTGATGCCATACTTTGAAATGACTGATCAGTATTTTGTTTGAAGTAAAAATTGTTATGAAGTTGTTTGTAAATAATGTGTTACAGTATATGTACATATTTACCTGGTTCAGTACATAACCCCACAGTGTCACTTCAAAAGTGTATTATTCTGTTACTTTTATCAATATTAAAAATACTTACATGTACCCTGTAATAATCTGTGCCAAAAAAATCAGTTTTTCTTCAGCTTGTGCTAATGGAAAATGGTGCTACAATGTATGGAATTATGTATTGACGAGCGATGAAAGAAACATGAAAATTTATATTTCTACTAGGAAGGGAGGTAACCATGATATTGTACACTCTAAGGCTGAAATAGCATGTTCAGTTTTTAAGTAGAAGGTCATGCACTCTGTATCAAGTGGATTAAGGTTTTTTCCTTCCTTGTTATGTAACAGTCAATATCACATAACAGTTCAATGTCTTTGTATAGACTGATTGTTGGATTTGTATTCAGTATTTTTTTTTTTTTTGATAGATTTCTGAACAAAAAAATTGTAATTACTTACAGAAAAAGTGAACTTGATGTCATGTCTGCTTTACGTTTTAATTCATGACTGCTCAATTCATTTTTTGTCAGATGTAAACTATTTATTTTGTTTTTTATGAAGAAATACCAGTCCATTTTGATGTTGGATTTTGTACCATACAGATTTCTATGTGTATAATTATAAGATTCATTCCAAATTGCAAAACAATTTTTCTTAAGAAATAAAGAAAACTTAAATTTAATAAAAAAAAAAAAACCAGTCCTATATAGTTAATTGTACACATTGAATTCTGCCAAATCCTTCCCCTGGATTATTTCCGATCCAGTGATGTTCCCAGACCTGTCAGGTAGAATGTGTCAGACATTCCATGTTACTTTAAGTTTGTCACTGTTGATAATTTTGCTGATATCGTTGATGCTAATGATTTGGAAATGAGTTGAAGTGTGTTTATTTTGACATGACTATATAAATGATAATGTTAACCTGATCTGTTTTATCGTATAAATTTCAAAGTGAGGATGAAAATGATCATAACCAGTCCAAGTTTATGTTTGTTACAAACTGTTTTGTTTCTGCAATACAATGTGAGAAAACACGTAATTTGACATTAGAATGGAATGTTACTGAGTAGGTTTCATTCTGTTAGTCTCTGCAAACATTTGTGTTTTTCATGTGAATGTAAACTGTTTTATCGGAGTCTCAACTCAGCATCACTGTGCGTTTATATTCACACATTAGATTTTAAAATAATTATACGGAAAATATCTTACTACTGAACAACATGAAATGTTTACATTAGGTTTTGTATCTTGCTTTGTAGGTATACTGGTATATTTTTAAATTAATCATACAACTTCTGTTTCAACAACTACATGTTAGATGGACAAAGGGATATGAATATCATACAGACCAAATGCTAGTATCTTTGGTCCACAGAACTGTTTTGAATTATGGGTATTAATGAATCATCATATTGATAAGACTTTAAATTTAAAAGGAACACAAGTTTTTCTGTTGATATATTTGATGTTTGAGGATTGTGAACTTTTTATTTCATTTTTTATTAATGACTCATTGAACTAAACTTAGTTTACCAGGATTCTGAAACAACTTACATTGACTGGACATGTTTTAGTCACTCTTGTTGGCCTGAATGGATGCTTACAAGGGGTCAAAGTTTAGGAGATGGAGGAATTAAATGCCTATATGGCTGCATCTCTCTTAAAGAAATGAAGGTCATGGCCAAAGAAATGAAGGTCAGGGCCATTCAGGTAATCAAAACCAGTTTTGTTTGTCCACTGTGATATACCAGACCAATATGGCGTTTTACACATATTTTGTTGTTGTTGTTGTTGTTGTTGTTGTAATAGTTTGTTATTATTAACAACATTGTTGTTAACTGATTAACAGGCATGAACTCTGTTATATGGTATCAACAACACAGACAGTAAACTGACGATCGACAAAAACCAAGCTCTTGTGTGATAAAGATACTTTAGTAATCTTATAGCTTCATTAGTTTCCATTTCACAATTTCTTTATTTATTTATTTTTTTATTTATTTATTTATTTATCTATGTTTGTCATTTTACAGTAGCTAGACAGATGCTTGTGACAATGTTTTTTAGGACTGTGTGACATAAGTCTTTTGTTGTATTTATGAAATTTAATAAAAACTGGTTCATTGATATCAGCTTAGTCACTTTGTAAGTTTTGTAACTAAAATAGATTTATTATATTTTGATAAATGCAATGTCATAAATCACACTCTTATCATTTTTTTTTCCTGTAATTAAAACTATTTACCTGATTCTTCAAAATCATTGCAAATATTTACTTTACTATTACATCAACGTGAATCTGCTTAATGTTTCCCCATTTTCCTTTTTTTAATTTTCAGCTGGTCATGGTCAATATAATGACTATTAAATTGTTTAGGTTTCGTCACAATGAAAGACTTGTAACAGCCAAATTAAATATCACATGTATTAGTTTTCTGGTTTATTCAATTAACACAATCAAATAACAAGTTATGAATATAAGTGCTTGTTACTGGAAAATTCAATAATACGCCATATCTAATTATTCTGGTGGGTATTTAAGCATGATCAGAGGGGTATAAGTTCTACCTGATGTAAGTGAAAATTTCTGTTAAACTTCCCAGCTACTCAACAACTTTATATGTGAAATACCAGTATATTTTTTTTATGTACATGTATAGACCATCAGGGCTTATAAGCCATCTGATTGTCTGTTTCCAAATCAAGCATAATTACCATACTGGTAAATTTTTGATACGGCAATGTAATTACATGTATGTTGTGATGGCACTTTGTATGCTGTCGTTGTCTCGTCAAGCAATGTGTGATTGTTATTATGTTTGATGATAAGCGAGACATCACTTTCTGAATTTGTTTTACATAACTTTATACTTTGCGGAAATTGCCTTTGTTTTATTGTAAAAACTGTGATATTTTTAAAGTTGGAACAGGATTTATGTTATAAATTCTAGTACTGTGATAGATGTTTCTTTCGTTGGTGAATATATGTATATTATGTGGTCAACGTTTTTTCTGTAGGTTACAGATGTTGTAATTTATTTCTATCATCACATACAATGTAATACATATAATATTTATGCTGTTGCGAGACTTGACCAGATGATTGTTGGTTGACAGCAAAACGTCCAGTGATTACGTTGATCATATATGTCAAACTCCTGGTCCAACCCTAATGTATTTTCCATTTCTTTTTATAAGCTATTTTACCTCAGATAATTATAGTCACAGTTGAATTTCATTTTCTTTGCTATACAATGACCATAAAGAAAAATCAAATGGCTAGATTACTTGAAAGGTGCTAGAACAATTTGTGTAGTATTAGCATGATTTTGGATGCTTAATGGTTTTGATATCTTTGATTATAACTGTAGATTCTTTCACTTTTTAGAAGATGTGATTTAGGCACTGCTTTTCTAATTTAACAATGAGAGAATATTGTATATAAATCAGCATTCCTAAGATATAAAATGACATCACATCGTTGGAGGCGAGAATTTGTGATTTTATTTAGCCCATAGTTCAAACATTTGTTCCCTTTCATTTCAAGTTTATTTGATTTAAATTGTTTAAATATACACAGTCTATACAAAAACTTATAGTATTTGTACAAATTACACCATATACAGCACCTGTTCAAGACAGGATTTTGGATTTAAATGGAACCGCCATAGCCGGGTGGCTAAGGCGTCCGACCATATTTATCACTAGTCCTCTGCCTCTAGGTCACAGGATTGAGGTCTACATGGGGCAGTAGCCAGGTACTGGCTGAAGGTCAGTGGTTTTTCTCTGGGAACTCCGGCTTTCTTTCACCATGTCCATAAATGACCCCAACAGTTATTAGGATGGAAAGAAACAATAATCGAAGTTACATTTCAACATGTACATCATAATAAATGAAAATGAAATAGACCAGTGTAATGATGCATTAAAACAAACAGTGATTTGTCAAATACATCTTTAACTATGGAAAATTAAAGGGAACTGATTTTAAAACAATGATTGTTTAAAACCAACTCAAACTGTAGGTTAGATACAAAAGTGATGTCTGTATAAGATATGAAATGTTTATCAAGGAAAAATAAACAAATAGAAATAATGTTTATTAATTTCTCATGGTAGGTTTATTTTTCAATCATTTTTCTGTATATTTATCTTTTTATGGTAAATAAGATTACAGCTTGTGAATGTTTAAGTGACAATTGTTGTACTCTTTTTAAAAGATGTGTGATATTGTTTTGTAATCAATTGATGTTTTTTTATCATTAATATTGATCTGAGCATTCAACAGGAAAGCCCATAATATGAACTATTCAGGGAGATCTACAGAGTCCAAAGTCCAGCTACATATATATTGCAGTATAATCTGTCTGAACCAGGAGTCACAACAACCAAGCATTTTGGGTCGAATTCTTCAGATGACCGATATGTGGAGGTCCAAACCTGTCAACTTATTTTCAAATAACGATCAAGTTTCCTGAAGATTTAAAAAAAAACTATAACAAATTGTTTTTTATCACAGAATTGATTATATTTGCAACAGCATACACACATTCATTGCGTATATGTAAGTGAATTGTCAGTTGATTGTGAAGGCCATAGAAAGTGTTTAGTATTTAGATTATGTGGTGTCAAGTAAAGGTCAAGGCCAATATGAAAAGGTCGTCTTTAGAAATGCACTCAAGCTGTCATCAGTAAAACAGCTCCGGTTTTCAGAATAGACAAATATTCAGCCTAGAGAGGGATCAGTTTTGACAGGTTATACTGATAAGTCAAATCTAACTAATTGCTAGCTGTCATGAATTTCATCAGCTAATTATGGAATGGAATGATTAACAATCTACCTCAGTGTGCCATTTTCTTCTATTTTTTATCAAAAAAAACCCTGTGGGTAGCTCATTTTAGCAATTAAGGATGTAAACATTAGTGCGATGATATCTGTAATATTTCAAACAGTTACTTTCAACAAATGTAAAATCCGATATAATTGGTTATTTAATTTTTTGTAATGAGAAAGAGATCAAAACCTTAGGTGATACAACCAAATGTTTCAACAGTTTATACTGACTTTGGCCTAGTTTTAGACAACAGTTGGTCAGAGTCAATCAGGAAATCTAATGATGGATTGGGTCAAAGGTCACGGTCAAATACCTGTAAATGACCACTAACCAGAAATAAGGGTAAATTTTCGGAAGTTTATAAATTCTCAACTTAAATTTTGTTATGGCACCCTTTACCAAACCAGAAATTTAGATCCGGAGATGATTAAGAGGTCAACATCAGATTTTGTTTTTGAAATAATTACTGGTAATGTACTTTTTATGACTGATAGAAGTTAAGTTGCAACATGTTGAAATAAAGCAAGGATTTGACAAAAAAACTTTTGTGATGAAGATATATTGCTGCTATCTTCAATTTTCATGTAGAATTCATGATTTTTTAAACAATATTTTATTCAATAATCAGCAAGGTTGATTTGTTTATCTGCATGACGATTTAAAGAGTACACAGGACAGTGTACAACAATCTTGTTTTTTACATTGCTTATAGATTCCAGAGAAGCTTATATAGACTGACCCAGCTTTTATTCAGTACATTGGCATTCTATTTATAGACATGCTCTCTATCTTCACAAGTTGCAGGGAGGTAGGGCTGGGCTGGAGGCTTAGGCACTATAGCTACATCATAGTCGATTACTAGATGTTTTTTTTTTATTTGAAGCAGTATTAGCCAGATCATATTACATGGTAAGTCATTTTTATGGTATCCCAGGTTGGATGTTAAAAATAAAGTTCTTTGTTTTTTCTAACATTTCTCATTAAATGGTGCCATGGGAAAGAATGGAGCACTTTATATATGCCCATAAATTTCATACCTAAATGTGAAATAAAATTGTAAAACTTGCAGAATAGTGACAATTAGATTGTGTAAAGTTATTTTATAGGTCATCTTTTCAACTATTATAAAGTAAGTGATTGCTGCACACCAAACAGGCTTTCAACATTGGTTTGGTTTATCATATGCGTGCCTCTTCAGTGTTGATCAAGAGGCTTTGTAATCATCCTTACTCTCTGTATTGTCTTATGTGGTCCTATATCTGCATCGTGCAATGGCATGGCTTTTAGTAAATAAAAGTTTTCAATACTTGTTTTGAAATCCTGTTTTTATTGTATTTTCAGAAATGAATTGATAGTACTTTAAAATGATTTTGTTTTTTTGAAGTCACAAAAGATTTAAGCAAGATTCAATGATGTGAATACTGAATATATACTGAAATATATATGTCTCCTTGAGAATACAATAGAAGCATATATTATTGTTTTCGGTTACAATTATTGCTTCTTCATGTTGTACATGTACAATACAACCAGAACTTTTGAGTTGTTAAAATTGCAGCATATGTAAATACACATTGTTCATTACACAGCATCCCCAATACTCCAGAGTTACAATCACTTTCACTCTCTGCACCCATGAAACTAATTTGATTGGTTCTAGTCAAAGCCATTGCAATATACTGTTATGCAACCTTAAGATTTGTTTGATGTACATATAAGGAACTTACTACATGGTGTCACACATGGAACCTTCAATTTTGTTCCAGGGGTGCAGAGGGCAAAAGTGTTAGTAACCTCTGGTATATCAAGTATGACTCCACTATAAAAATGTTCCTTTGCAGAAATAGCAATGATAATTTTTACTTGCCAAATCCAAAATGGCCACCTGGAAGCCATTTTGTTTCTTCCGATCAGTCCCAAAATCAAACGAGCACAAGGAGAGAACATTAAGAAGAATTTGAGAGACATCCGTTCAGTGCTTCTTAAGATATAGCAATAACAATCTCTACTATGCAAAATCAAAGATGGCTGTTTATTGGCCATTCTATTTTTCTGATGGCCGCCTTTCGGCCATTTTGTTTTTCTGATCAGAAGCAAAATCAAATAAGCACAACTAGGGACAAAGGGAAACTTACATTTGATATTTAAGAAAGATCCATCCAGTACTTCTCCAGAAATAGCGATAACAAACTTTCAAAGTCAAAATCCAAGATGGATACCAGTCAGCCATTTCGTATTTCTGATCAGTCCCAAAATTAAACTTGCACAACAAGAGACCAAAAGGAAACTTTACATGAAATTTGAGAAAGATCTATACATTAGTTCTCAAGATATAGCAATAACAAACTTCATTTAAATAATCCAAGATGGCTGCCTGACAATCGTTTTGTTTTTCTCTCAGTCTCAAAATCAAACAGGCACAACTAGGGACCAAAGGGAACCTACATATGAAATTTGAGAATGATCAATCCAGTACTATTTAAGGAAGAGCAATAACAACAATTGTTTACAGATGGACAGACGGACGTTGGACCATGGAGGCAGAGCGGTTTGAATTGCCCACCATCATCAAATTGTGGAAATTCTTATGTAACTTGGCTTGGAACCAAAGCTGAATTGCAATGTGTGGCACAAATAAGGACCAAGGAGGAAGATACAGGCATTACTTCTAAAGAAATAGTGAAAACAAGAATTTTCAAGGACACTTTCAGAAAAAGAACAATAGATGATTTTGATCAGTCTAGCTAGAGGAGCTAAAAAAAAACACAACACTTCAACCATTAATTTTATTTTTCATTTTTTTAATATTTTTTACATTAAATGAAGATACATTTATGCATGAATAAATAACTTATTTTTGTCAACAGTCAGCACATGTCATTGTTTGTTCTCTCCTTTTTGTATTTTGTACATAAAAATATAAGATTTTTTTCCTTGATACATTTTATGTACTACAATTAAGCAATGTGTCATTATGCTACAACGCTATTGATTTCATTAACCAATCTACAAGACATATCACTTTCTACATCAAGTTTGGATTGATAAGCAAATGTAGCATTAAATTTACCAGTCTATACATTTACAGGTCAAAGTCTTTTCAGTAGTAGGAAACCCCAAAGTGTTGATGATGAAAACAGTGTGATGATGTACCATCCATGAACTCTCACAGGACTTTAGGTGACTGGATCACAATCAGAAGGTATTCCTTTTCTGAAATAATAAAATACATGTTGGTATCAGATCTCAGGAAGTTGACAACATCAATAGAATTTGTTTATTGACATATGTATTAATAATCCAAACATTTTAAAGTTGACATAAACTTCATTAAACCACAAATATTTGTCATTACACCAGTGCTAAAATGCAAACAATACATAATTTTGTTCACAGTTCAATTCATAACTACTTTGATTTCATTTAAGTACTAAATTTTGTATTGGTTAATTTCACAGGGTGACAGATTGGGTTGTTCTAAAGACAAATTCAACATGAACTGCTTCATTGTTCATTCAATTATATTTCAGTCAGCTTGTTTTCAATTTGTATTTTGAACATATCCAAGCCTATAGTTACCAGAACTTGTGCAAGTCTAACGGATTGATTTTTAAATTAGAGGATGACCAATCAGTACTACTCTAGCTAAATATGATTATGTGACACATTTACAAAAAATGCATAACAACACGATCAGATTATAAAAATTGATTTTGTCTATGTACTTTACAAATCATGAAAATTTTCCAACAATTACATGGAAGGTGATCTCACATTTTGCTTCAAAATGGTTGGCAGCCATTTAAAATTGTCATGAAGTGTCTTATGACTTTTCTCAGTATCTATGTATAACATCAAAATTTTGGTCAAGAAGCAGCTCTTTATCAGAATTGCTCAGTAGATGCTTTTGGTCTAGGTTGAGGTTTTTCTTTTCAGGCAGTAGAAGGTTGAAAAATAGTTGCTTGCCATTTTGAAGCAGATATGCAGATATACACAGAAAACAAATCTGTTCTCGTAAAAATGAACCATGTCACATTTGTATTTATCTAATTAGTTTACGATCATTAATCAATAATGAAATTTTACAGAGTCAAAAAATTGTAGGATGTTAATTAGATATCTGTGTGGTATTGGTTGTCCAAATTTAACACATGTATAAAAAAATGATTATAATGTAAGTTTGTCGTTAATCCCTGGATAGCTTTTTGGTATTTTCTGAAACTTGCCTTCAAAGCGTACTTCCATGCTTACATAAATCAGTAAAATATTTGAGGCGTTTTATCAAAACAGGTTAACATGACTACATTTTTTTTTACAACAACTGCAAATAAGCTATCAGTTTATATTGTCAATGTGATGTCCTGGATTAACAGGAAAGGAGTACCTGAATACATTTGATCCAACATAGTCAGAAAGGTGATTCTGTACCTTTCATGTCGAATCTAGGCATGGAATCCCATTTGTCAAGGTGAAAGGTTAGTGTGTTACCAATGGGTTACCTGACCATTTGTTATGCCCCCATCCCTATTTCTCATGTGTATTCCTTTTGACAAGACCTTTCCGGTGGTACCAAAAATTTTTCACCATGTGACCTTAACTGTGACCTTTGACATACATTTGGAAAATTATAATATTGGCCATAGCTATTTCATCATAGGAGGCATGGCTTTCATATTTGGCATATGTTTTCCTTGTGACAATACCATTCTGGAGGTACCAAAAATTTAGACCATGTGACCTTAACTGTGACCTTTGACCTACATCTGAAAAATCATAACATTGGTCATAGCTATTTCATCATAAGAGATATGACTATCATATTTGATTCTGTATGTGTTCCTTGTGACAAGATCTTTCTGGTGGTACCAACAATTTTGACCATGTGACCTTAACTGTAACCTTTGACCTACATGTAAAAGTAAAAAAAATCATTACCACAATGAAGACATAAGTGTTTCACAAAGTGTGGTTACAATTAGCACATGCCTTACACAGTACAGCTCTAATGTCCAACTGCAGAACTTTGTTGCAACTGCTGGCATAGTGTTTCATAAACACATTTTGTTTTATAGCATATCATATCTAATGGCAGAACGAGGACTCAAATACAATGTAGATTGCGCATTCATAGTAAGGAATCCTGTAAATATCCCCTTAAATTCAAGAATATTTTCAACTTGATAGCAAAATTGTTAGTAAACTATACAGGTTTGGCACATCCTTGTCAATTTGTCCATCGACCAGATCATGAAAATAAGGAAACATCACTGATAGTCTACAGATCATTTGAAAATGTTTGTTTCTTCATTAACATGTAATTTGATATCATTTTCTATCAGATTAATAACTTCAAAGACTGAAATACATTGTGTGTGTACAGCCAGTCAAACTAGCCATTAAAACATACTAGTTCTCAAGCAATATTAGTACACTTCATATTACAATTTTAGCGGTTACACACCTCCAAACTGTAATTGGCCCAACAAAATCTCACAAAAAGCCTTCATGTAATTCAGCCACCAGAAATACATACTAGGCATGTTAATCTGTCATTAAAAATTATGTCACAATCTTCAACCAATTAATGTTTAGCTTTTCAAAAATGATATCAAAAGCAGACAAATTACAGGTATAACAAAACTTGGTTAAGATATAGAATATTTCTCAACAAATCTTGGTAGTCCTTGGTGTTTCTTCTTCATATTTTAAACAGATTTGACAACAACTTACATTCTTAACTTAACCATGTAAACATTGTATTAACTAATTAAAATGTCAAGTATTAACGATGTTAAACAAGTAACAACATCAAATGCCATATTACATCTAAGACTTGCACACACCATCTCTGGCCATTTTAATACAATGCTAAAGCCAAATGTTTAGCAGACAAACATAAATCATTCTAACCTATACAGCTTCGTTTGGATCCTGGATTACTATCAGTAAGTACTCAAGATCTGTGAGACGACAAAATCAAAATCATTTACAACCAAAATGAACACTTTAATGTGAAATGAAAAGTAAAACAACAGTATAATGTTACTTATCCAAATTGAACATAAAGATTGACTTAAGACGATTGTTGAAATATTGATGTTCATAGAAATTTTATACCATCATCATTTTGAAGTTGTATGTACATCAAGCATTGATTTAACAATAAATATCAGGCTGTGAAAATTTGAATATATTAAATGCTTAATTCCTAGAGTGATAGCTGAAAAGTCAATAATTTGTTTATAAATACTCAAAATATTTCTTTAGTTGTGAAATAAAACTTCTGATAGTCTACCAAAAGAAAGCTACCTTCTTTGTAATGTTCTTAAGGAAATAATTTTTTCTAAGTTTTGAAATGCACACTCAATTCAAACATTTTCTTAAGTATAATGAAAAACAATATTTCATTGATTCAACTATGATTGTATCTTTGCAAATTAGCTTTGACTCCTGACTTACAAAAGACATGTATGTCTCCATGAATCTAGCTTTGACTGTTCATATTGGAACCAAGGCGACCCTAAACAGGGAATATGTACATTGTATAACATTACTGTAATCATAATTAATGAACAAACCTGAATGTGACATTAAGCTGAAGTATGACTACAATGTACTTTAATTAAAATCCTGGAATGTAACATGGATTTATGTGCTTTAATCATTACCTGGTGCCACCATTATTTCATGCTTTTTTGATCGAATTCTGAGAAATGTGAGGTCATTCTGTGGATCAATATCTCGTACAACACTTCGTGCTTTCTGTGTGAGCTGGTGAAATAGGCCGGCATACTGCACAGTAACAGAATTGTCTAGCGTCGTTCTGATGGGAATGCCTGGAAAGCAAACATATTGAAAAACAGACCATTATTGTAAAAGTATATCCAAACAAAATCAAAGAAATTATTTTTTATATTTTTTTTTTCATTTCAATAGACAATCAAATTTAGCTGATCTGATATTGAATTAATAAAAAGAGTTTTGATATGAACACAGTTAGACAAAATCTTAAAAATATAATTTCTAATTACTTAAATAAAATGTACGACAATTGATTCAAATCCAATTTATGGAAAGGGGACAATTTTGTATGTCTTAATAAGCAATTCATTTGCATATACAATACCATTTTCATAAAACTAAGATTATTTTCAAATAATTCATGGCATTCACAGTGAATCCCTGCAGGATATGGAATTATATAAGGCTTTTCATGGTGAGTATACACTGAAATAATGTCAGTACTTGAGATTGCCAGTTAAAATCAGAAATGGAATCAAATAATTAGAACTACAGACAGTAAAAGGTTGTAACATTAGACAAACTGCCTTCAATTATATTATATTATTATTTAAGATAAAACTTGTGAGTATGAATGAAATGTTACCTTCATGATTGACAATGACAATTCCTTGTACACCTTTGTGTGCACAAATTCTCTTTACAGTTTCTTCAATTTCAGCCTAAAAAGAAACATTATTATCATTATTTCAATTAATAACAATTGACACTTATCATCTTGCTTATAAGAATTTATATTCAAACTTCTGTTAAAGATAGTTTGTGTTTGTGAATTTTACAAGAGAAATTGTCATATAAATTGTGGATCTTCATAGCTTTTTGATGTTTCCACACTTATATTCTATACTATTGTTTGCTTACACAACTTTTCAATAAACAGTTTTGGTATTTTGACATTGTCATGAGCTTTTCTGCTTTTACAGGTTCCAAAAATGTTAGAATTGAATATTAAAAAAAAAAAAACCAACATATGCACATGTATTTTGAAATCCACAATGTTACAGTTCATAATTAACTGAGGAGCCTTGTAAAACACAAAACATTTGGTGAAGCACATGTTCAGATTATAAAATATCCAAAATGAGCAGACGTGTAATTTCTTTAACTGTGCATTGTTCCTCTAAAAATATCATTTTCTTCAGCAGATTCATGGCAACGTTTAAAAGCTGACTTGTACAGGTAGTAAATGGACAGATATATAGCTAAATGAATTAAACATTAAACTATCCTAAAACAGCAGTTATCGTAGGGTGCCGGATACTGAAAAGACCAAGTATCTATAGAGAACATTCAGGAATGGGAAACTAAACTAATACCAAGCTTTAGGGATCTACCATAACCAATTAGGTTAAAAAAAATAGAAATACCATCCTAAGAGTATAGATTATGGTCAAGTATGTTGCAGGTCTATAAAGTCGAACATTTGATACCTTTTCCCAAAATATACTGGAGTATAAAGAGTAGACCGCAACTTTGAACCAAGTGTTACAACAAAACAATACAGTACACTTAGTAACACTAATCTGTGCAGCTGGATGTGATGAAATGTATAGACAAAGACTGTGAGAAGAAACACAATAGAACTAGTTTGATTACCTGGGCTCTTCTGTTCAGACAACGCAATTCAACAAAATTGAATGGGGACAAACTTCTACTTCTAACTGATACTGACCAACTTCAACAAGTTGAAGACTATGTCAGAAGAGGAGTTGTAAGAAGGGACAAAAATTCTACTTCTAATAAGTTGTCAAATATAATGGAACATTAATGGTGATATTTCATGCGGATTCTCGAGCAGAAATTATCCAAAAAGGAATAACACTGCGTCGGATTACCATTCATTCTATAGAGGAATGTAACAAACAGGAAAAGGAAAATCTAATGCCACAGCTATCTCGATAACCATAACAAGTGCGTGTTCCAGTGAATGATAAAAAATTAGGTATGCAATTAAATTTGGATTATCTAACAATACATCAAACGAAATGTGTAAATGGAGAGTTATTGATAATAACGTTCAAGTAAACAAAATTCCTCACCATAATGTATGATCTCCTAGATTCTGGTTTCACTTAATGTTGGAAAAATATTTCGTTTCGTTGCTACGAACCTATGAACATGCGCAAGTGCTCGTTTCCGGTATTTCTAAATCGGCATTTCCGGAAACCGAAACGACTGGAAAAATTCCGCTTTTACCTGAGACAGCGTTTGTCGGTCAAACCATGAATTTGAATCAAAGAAATCAAACGTTCATAGATTTTGGTTAAACAATAAAGTCGTTTTAAAACTAAAGGCATCAGAATGTTGCGTTTTGGTTGAAACAGAAAAAGAGTCACAAAAATCCACATTTTGGATTTTTTTATCGCTCAAAATAGGATCAAAGGAATAAGAAAAATCGATTGGTGCAAAAAGAACATTTTGAGAATTAAATCCTGAACAGCTTGTATAACAATGAATAAGAGAAATTAGCTGTATTTCAAGACCAAAGAGTGCACTACATTGATAAGAAAACTCACAAACGACCAATAATTTTACTTGAAAACTTAATAAGAACCATCACACTAAAATATCACATCATGAAGTATTGTTAAAAACCATTAAAGTGCAGAACATATATCATTATTTATTTATTTATTTATCTATTTATTTATTTATTGTTTTGTATTTAGTAAGAAAGGCATGATTTGGAATTCACGATATTTAGTATCGAAAAGAAAAATCTATTAATACATCCAAATTTGACCTGCGCCAATTTTCTCGAGCTATTTCAAAGTCCGAATTGAAATATATCTTGATTTAGAAATGTATTTTTCAAAAAAGTTTTACAACATTTTCAACAAATGCTGAAAATGAATTAAATAAATTTTATGCAAGATATTCTGAGCAGAAAAAGAAATCTTTGTTCGGATTAATAGGTCACGTTGATTAAATTTGACTGGGCCATTTAAAAAGGTCGATTATTTTAAACAACATTTTTTTTGCAGGTATTTCAACCACAACACACCCCAATTGATTTAGGAGAATAAACATTAAACTTTATCATTTTTTTCTATCGGTTGATAGTACAGAGGGGTTACGGGATTTCGTAATTTTCAATAAAATTATTTCATTATCAAATGACGCTTTCAGTGTGTGTTTACATTTTCCATGAATTATGTATAACCGTTACAAAAGCTCATCCTAGGTTCAATCATTCGTTACTAGCCGTTCACATATTATTACTGAAGGTCGAGCGCGAATAATTTACCACTGGTCTACCACTACGTTACATATGATTAAGTAAAATTTTAAAAATCTTATTTGTTCCCTCCGAATATTGAACACATTCTGTTTTTGTAATTGTGTACATCGGGAAAAAATATAATATTTTCATACTGTCAAAACCTGTAACTCACGTCCTACACACACAAAAAACATCAAATAGTAAATATTACACACGTGTGATCTATTATCGGGGAAACGAGTGTGGAAACCGAATTTGATTATCACCATTTACGAAATGTAATATCTGACATTACTTTGCTGTCTGATTTCGTTGGGATTCTAAAAGTAGTGTGTTTTGAAATGAATGATTTGAAAACACCGCGTCTAATTTTTTTCCCTGTTGTATATATATAGAATACAAAAGCAGGACTTCAACACATAGTGTCCTAGGCTCGGTTATAACCGGAACAAGGACGTTAAGCTAAAAAAAAAAAAAAAAAACACGTCCTCTAAACGAAGCCAAGTGTGGTTTTCCTGGCAAGCCTGGGTTGTCACATGAACAAAGCTCTCGAAAGTAATGTTCTTTCATTTCTATATTCCTTATCGCTTTTTAAAATTCGGACATGCTAAGTCCGTCACGGTCTGCAGAGTTTCCATACACTTGAGATTTTCTCCTTAAAATGTTAACGTTGTCTTTCGTCTTTGGTATTTATCAATTTACTTCCGTTATTTTCTGTACATGTTGTTAATCTGTATGCGTGGTTCCAACAGGCTCTTTTAATCCGTATATTGTTTTTTAATTAGTTAGCGTAAATTGCATCCTATCGATATGTGGTATGATACAAAGGTGTCTGGATATCTATGGTATGATCTAGGGACACTAAGTATGAATGTCATGATTATGTCATTCGCATTGGTTTATATGGACATATTTGATATCACCTCGAGAAACTGATGATTATGACAGTATTTGTTTTCGGCTAACAACATAGATTTTTCAAACGGTGGAAGAAAGTCAGTCCAATTTCGAACAAACGTTATTGATAACGGTTTTATAACATTCGTTTGATTTAAACAGATATTATTGCAAATAGATATTTACAAAATACGTGATCACAAGTATTCACAACGCTTATCACAGTACTTCTCTTCATAATACATTGATACAAGCAATAAACCGGAACGGCAAATTTAGACAATTTATAGTGAATGAGAGAGAAAGTCGGTCACATTCATTCACACCGCTGTTTCGGATTGCCGGATATAAGTAAACCTAACGTGAAATTCTCACTGAATGATTGTAACGGTCCTATTGATAGATATCGGTTCTGAGTGTATAAGGCACAGAATCCAAGATTGTCATCAAATTATAAGAAAAGGTTCACCATACCTATGTCATGCAGCTGTATTACTTAAATTTACTCTAAAGAGGTCGTAAACAAGGGAGTTAGTACGGTTTCTCAATTCTGTTGAAATTACGTAAACCCATACACTAAAGTTTTAGAGATTTAAGACCCTCTATGTTAACATTAACTTTTACATCTCAAATAATCCAAGGTTATATTTGTTTCATATTGTAACCATTCTCGCGTGAAACAAAATCAAAATATAACACGTGATCTTCTTCAAATATATATAAATTAACCACCACCCACCCACACAAGCACCAACCCTGCAAAATGAAAAAAAAAAAAAAAAAAAATGAATAAAGCAACGGGAAGGGGTTTCGATCCAGGACATCTTACCACTATACTGCCACTACGTTATATAAGATCAATTTAAAATATTCACATATACAACATTGCAAACCAAGCACTTCAAAAGAGATGGTAAGATGTTTTCCTTATTTTCTTGATCCTACAAAAGGCCAAAACTTTTCCTTAAACCTCGCTTTCAGGCGTTTTGTTTTAAAATATTTTAATGTTGGTTGAAAAAAAAAAAAAACAAACAAACAAAACAAAAAAACGAAAAATAATTTCTTTTGTTATAACTTTGAAGTTAGGACTTTTTCAAGGCCTGAACAGTTAGATACGTCACATAACAAATATTTCTGGTGTTTAGAATGTGTACCTTCGAAAAACACAAAGAAGCCCCTTCAAATAGACTTAAAATGTCCCCATGTATAATTGATAATGTGAGCTTACCTTGTTATTGGTCCTGTACATAATAATTTGTTTCTTAGATCAATAATCTATTAGGCACTAATTTCGATTAGCGTTGCGAAGAAAATTAATTCAAATTTAAGTGTGGAAAACCAGCACAGAAAGGAAGAACAAAATATATAAGAGGAAATTACGGAAAATATCAAGATACAAGTGGAAAAACAGATCCAATATAATCTCCTAAATGTCATTTTAGCCGAAAACATGGAAGGAAACCCCCGATTCTGCAGGGGTCACTCTCTAGTCGCCCCCTCCCCCGACGAACATGAGGTAGACTATATTCCTCGTCTCTCCGATCTCCCCTAAAACAGAAGGCATCGCGAAAACCATGTAATCTACAATGGTGCTCCACAATCTGTCTCCTTTTCATGCAGAGATATAAAGCTAGAATATTCTTTACCTGTTGTCTGCATGGGTCTTTTTTGAGAAACATGAAAGTCAGACAACCTGGTCGTTAATTTTAACTGAAAATGGTGCATTAAAAACATTATTTATTGAACGCAATGAATAAAGTCGACGCCACATAACTTCACAACAATTTAATGGAACTACTATGCAAATGCATTTGAAGACTCCTGAATGCCATTCTGCTAGAATTTGAGTAATAATTCTGACATATTACTATGTTAACGTACAAACAAGTAGTGTTGAATAATATTATCATCGATATGAAAGTAGAAAATACGAAACCAAGTTTGCAGCTCTTGAGGAAGCCGTGTCGACAAAGTGTGACGCTGATGCGTAGTTCTCTATAATAAACAAACAGATTAAAATGTTTCCTAAACAAAGGAGGTTAGATAACAAAACAAAGTTGTTTCTGTCTTCCAGTCAACAGAGGACGTTTGACTGGTCGGTCACAACAAAGTCTCCTATTGTTCAAACGTCTTTTGACGGCTAACGCGAAAAATGATGTTCTGTCTTCTGAGCCTGTTGGCACAAATGAATGGGGCTCGCCTTGCCAAACTACACAGAAATCTATCTTCTCTTTCTGCAATTCTTCATTATTGCTGCAAACGCTGTTGTAGGCGACACAGCAAACTTGTGTTAGAGTACAGAATACCCCAGTTATCCTCAAGTTAGGTGTATCACTTGGTTTGTTTTGTTTTAACGTATTTAATTGCCGTTAAACAAAAGGATTGGGCACATATTACAATAAAGTTATATTGCATATATACATTACAAGATGACCCAATGAGAGAGAGAGAGAGAGAGAGAGAGAGAGAGAGAGAGAGAGAGAGAGAGAGAGAGAGAGAGAGAGAGAGAGAGAGAGAGATTTACTCGAATTTTATGGTAAAATAGATACATTCTTGCAAAATACATCTGAAATATATCTTACACTTTATTATACATTTAACCGCACCAATCGAAGCATGCTACCACACAACACGTTCATGCTCACAAGTCATGAAAATTACACAAATTCAACTAATTGGAAAGAAATAATTATGCAATTTCATAGAGAAACGTGGAACGTGACCTATCTAAAACCGACGAGTGCTTAATATGTACTGTTGGACAAATATAAATAAATCCTTATTATCATCACTTGAGTAGTCTTCATGGCCAATTAGCAATTTATCTAAACTTAACGACAAATATTTATGAAGGTTTCTGGACATGGCCAGACATTGGTCGTTATATCAACCTCATACAAAGAAGAAATGATGAGCATTGTCATAAGCATCACTTGGTGGATTACGACAACAAACACTAGAAGTAATTTGTCAAATGTTGTTTTTAACATTGCCAGCTA